TAATAATGGTAATAATAATATTAATAATAATGATAATAATGAAAACTATAATGATAATAATAATAATAATAATAATAATGACAATTATAATGATAATGATAATAATAATGATAATGATAATGATAATGATAATGATAATAATAATGATGATAATAATAATAATAATAATGACACTCATAATGATAATAATAATAATGTTAATGTTAATGTTAATAATGATAATAATAATAACAATGATAATGGTAATGATAATAATAATAATAATAATAATAATGATAATAATAATAACAATAAGAAGAAGAAGAAGAAGAAGAAGAAGAAGAAGAAGAAGAAGCTAAATTTGATAATATTCACATTTTATATTGTAAATCTTGCACAAGCTACAATATTTAATATATGTGAAAACTCTTTACTATTTGGTTATGAATATTCCTATGTTTTGTACATAATTTATATATTCTTACTTCTCTGTATCTTCTGTTGTGATAACTTCAACACAATTGTATTATTGTTGCATTTTTTAGATATTTTTATTTTATTTATGTTTATAATTTAACCTAACTAAAATAGTTTGTTTTGTATTTATATGTGTTTACTGATTGATTGTTATTGCATCCATACACTTTAGATTAACATTTTTTCATCTGATGTTTTGTCACTTTTATCAAAAAGTCTAGAAGAAAATGTATGTTACTTGAACTATTGTTTAGTACTACTTAAAATAACACATATAACATGAATATTATACATTTATAGTTTCTTATTGAAAAAAAGGATCTGCAATCCTGAGCATGTAATACATAATGTTTATGTGCAGAAATAAGAGCAGACTTTTAGTCACATGTTGATTATTGACTAGTTTTATTTATTATTAAAGTAAGAATTTAATTTTGTAATGCATTTTAAATAAGATCAACTATGTTCAACAGTGCTCCTCATATTCAGTAGTATCCAAAGATAGGACAAATTCTTAACAACTTCTTAATTTAAAACTAAATATTAGTAAAGCATGTACTCAGGAAGTCTTAAAATGTTCAACATGAATGTAGAAAATATTCCAACATTTCCACCAACATGCATATTTTGGACAGATATATCAAATCAAATTAATTTCATTAATATATTCATTTATTATTCTACCATAAGCTATTGCAATGCTAACCTATATGTATGTTTTTCTGTTCATTTATTTAAATCTACTTAAATTCTTATCTTTCTTTGGGAAATAGTTATTTATATTTATATTTATATAACAGTTACACTCAATAGAAAAAGTAACTCTTGGGTTTCCAGATGCAGGCCTTATAATTTTGAGACTTTACCACTTGTCCATATCTTCAGTGGGTTAGTCACCCTCTGGTGGCAGCAGAAAGGTAAGGTAAGGTAAGAACTATTACTACTTCTGCAGACAGGCAGAACACAAATAAACCACTCACACATGATTTTAGCCAATTTATTCAGGAGAAATTGTTGAGGTACACTGTGTGGTTGCACATAGGGATAGTGGGAGAAGAGTTTAGAGTAACAACCACACTGAACAATGATAAAACATTCTTGTGGTTTTAAACTTCGACTAAATGGGTACCTCAAAATTAAAACAATATCCACTTAATCCCAAATGAACTGATTCAAAAGATGGCAGTGAAACTAGGAAAAAATACTTGTTTTTTTTGTCTTTCTAATACATGTATAACAAACAGCATATGCTGTTTTTTCTGATATATGAAATAACCTATTTTAAAGTATAGGCACTTATAACTGCTCAATGGAAGACGTTTCTTGATTAAAACAGAAGAAAGACCGTCGCCTCCCGCTCATCCAAAAAAAAAAAAAAAAGTGAACCCGTCCAAAAATTTCAGAGTGAAAATGACGTGTGGTGTGAAGTTTGATGAGGTAATGCGAGAGGGGCTCTCGCTCTATCTGTCCAAATTAACCTGAGGTACACAAACATTACAAAGAAGCAGCAAGAATATGATAGAATATAAAGATACAAATGAAACAATAAAAGAATAAAACATGCTAATCAAAAAAGATCAACAAAACAAGTACTTCCAGTCCCGCACCAAACTGTGTTACGTTCCCTCTAGTACACATAAAACAGAGAAGCAAAGAAGACTTGTTACATATACAACATTTCATAATATAGCAGCACACAAGTGAACCACAATAAGGCGTTTTTGTGTAAGACTAGAAAAGAAAAGCTTCATAGCAGCAAGAGAATGATGTGTATGTATTTCTCACTTTTGGAATTATTTTTCAAATTATACACAAAACCTTTAAAAAAGCATAAACATTTTTTCTGTTTAAAGCACTTTTTTTGGGAAAAAAACATTTGGCTTTTTTGCAAAACATGCATGTATACAATTAAGAAACTACATTTATTTTCTAAAATGTCATGAGGATTTTTTTGCATTTTCTGCTACCCACCCATGTCCATAATGGAAAAAAAAAAAAAAAACTCACAAAAGACAGTTTTTAAAACTTCAGTTCAGAGAGCAGTTTACATAAGAAGAGCAAAAAAAACACGAAATATTAACACAGTATGCGTGTAACTCTGAAAGAACTATTGGAAGGTTTTGGCTATGAATTAACAAAAAAAGAAATTCAAGTAAGGTTAAATAATCGCACTGAATCAAAAAAAAAAAATCTAAGTCTACAAGTGACTTGGCTTTCCTTAGTTTATATACTACTATACTATAACACCGATTATCCTACGTCTAGTCACCTGTCGGGGCGTAGCTTTCAAGACAACGTGCGCTACCCCGTGGGAATCCAGCCCAGAAAAAAATCAAATAACTTAAAGAAAAATTTAAAAGAAAAAAAAAAAAAA